CAGCTTTTGAATGTAACCCCCCCCCCCCCCCCCCCCCCCAAAAAAAAAGTTTTGTCAATGAATGATGAATTTTTGTGTGCAAAGAATCACTGATCTTGAAGGAGCAATTATGATTGAACATAGGGACATTGTTATATGAAAATGACCTTGTAAGCACTATTCCTCTTAATCTTTGTAATGAATTTTAATGAAACTTCACACTTCAGCTCTATAACTTTATAGAAGCATTTCTAACAGATGGAGGTAATCAAAATGTAACATGACAGGGTACCATGGTTACTATCTAATATTTTTATGAACACAAGGGTACCTCTGTCACTACCTTAATATTTAATTGCTGGTAGGTTAAACACTGCTTTTAAAGATAACTTAATTTACAAAATTATATTTATCATTATGATATTGACAAATAGAAATTAAAATGCATATCATAGACACCGTCAGTTGGATTATGATGAAAGTTTAGATACATTAATGCTTTAGAAATAAAATGTTAAATTTTATGGACCTGGGGATTAATTGTGATATTTTAAGATTAAAATGATTTTTTACCAGAAAAATCTTAAGGAATCTAAAACTTGAGGGTAAGGGAAAGTTAAACATTTTCCATCTTATTGTATCTATCTTTAAAACTATTTACTTTTACTGTTTTGTAGAGAAATTAAAAAAAAATTGGTTCTATATTAAAATATTTGTTATATCAGTGGAAATTTGATATAAAAAACTTGGATTTTAGCTGAGAAAACTATTAATTGTCAGGTCATTAATTAATTAAGAAAAAGGACTTTTTTGTTTATTTAAAGTATCTTAGGTCATCATGTAGCAAGGAACACAATACAAGTCTTTCAAATGTTAGTGATGCTTTCTATATTTATGTTGCTATGTTTATTTTACAGTAAGTCTTTTTATATTAAATTTCATCTCACCATCTTGTGTTTTCTTCTAAAATTACTAGACCAATTGACAAAATTGGACCAAAGATTAACCAAATGTTTTTGATAATTTGAAGTACCACTTTCATTTGATAAACTTTTTTCAAGTGCGTGAAGTATTTTACATCCTTAGGGAAATAAAAACATTTGTGATCTTGTGAATAGTATCATACATCAGTGATCATTACAAGCTTCTTCCTCATGAGTTTAGTACAATGCAGCTATGATACATTTTTAAAGGGCTTAATAGCGTTCTTATATTTTTTTTTGTAATTTTCTTTAAAAAATATATTTAAAATAGTATCTTCCTGTGTATTTATTCTAAAAGGAAATAAAAAGTGTAGAAATAGGAAATTGGGGAAAAATAGATTATAGCTGACTATACGGTATGGGGTATTGTTGAAGCCAGTATGATTGCCTATAATTGCTTACATCCACTTCATTTGAACTTTGGTGGATAGTTGTCTCATTTCCTCATCTCCTTATTTTTATACGACCGCAAAAAATTTTTGCGGTCGTATATTGGTATGACGTTGGCGTCGTCGTCGTCGTCGTCTGGCGTCGTCCGGCGTCGTCCAAAGACACATTAGTTTTCGCATTCTAACTTTAGTTTAAGGGAATGGATCTCTATGAAATTTTACCATAAGGTTCAATACCACAAAAGGAAGGTGGGGATTGATTTTGGGGGTTATGGTACCAACAGTTAAGGAATTAGGGGCCAAAAAGGGGCCAAAAATAAGCATTTTTGTAACTTCCAGACATAACTTGTGTGTTAGTGTATGAATCTCTCTGACATTGTACCACAAGGTTCCATATCACACAGGGAATGCTGGGACTGATTTTGGGGGTAATTGCCTCAAAATATTAGGAATTAGGGGCCAAAAAAGGGGCAAAAAACAAGCATTTTTCTAGTTTCATGACAATAACTTGTGTGTAAATGTATGGATCTTTCTGAAATTGTACTACAAGGTTCCATATCACAAAGGGAAAGCTGGAATTGAGTTTGGAGGTAATTGCCCGAAACGTTAAGGAATAAGGGGCCAAAAAGGGGCCAAAAATAAGCATTTTTCTAGTTTCCAGACAATAACTTGTGTTCAAGTGTATGGATCTCTCTGAAATTGTACCACAAGGTTCCATATCACACAGGGAATGCTGGGATTGATTTTGGGGGTAATTGCCTCAAAATATTAGGAATTAGGGGCCAAAAAAGGGGCAAAAACCAAGCATTTTTCTAGTTTCATGACAATAACTTGTGTGTAAGTGTATGGATCTTTCTGAAATTGTACTACAAGGTTCCATATCACAAAGGCAAAGCTGGAATTGAGTTTGGGGGTAATTGCCCAAAACGTTTAGGAATAAGGGGCCAAAAAGGGTGCAAAAATAAGCATTTTTCTAGTTTCCAGGCAATAACTTGTGTTCAAGTGTATGGATCTCTCTGAAATTGTACTGCAAGGTACCATACCACAAAGGGAAGGCTGGGATTGATTTTGGGGGTAATTGCCTAATCTAACCGTGTATTTAGATTCTTTATTTTTGGTCCCGTTTTCAAATTGGTCTACATTAAGGTCCAAAGGGTCCAAAATTAAATTTAGTTTGATTTTAACAAAAATTGAATTCTTGGGGTTCTTTGATATGCTGAATCTAAACATGAACTTAGTTTTTTGATTATGGGCCCAGTATTCAAGTTGGTCCAAATCGGGGTCCAAAATTAAACTTTGTTTGATTTCAACAAAAATTGAATATATGGGGTTCTTCGATATGCTGAATCTAACCATGTATTTAGATTTTTGATATTTGGGCCCGGTTATCAAATTGGGTAATCACATTGAGGTTTAAAGGGTCCAAAATTGAACTTTATTTGATTTCATCAAAAATTGAATTCTTGGGGTTCTTTGATATGCTGAATCTAACCATGTATTTAGATTTTGGATATTGGAATACCACAAAGGGATGGTAAGAATTGTCTTTGGGAGTTATGGCTAAAACCGTTAAGGAATAAGGTGCAAAAAAGGGGGGGAAAAGGGTTTCCAGGTTAATGGACAATTATTTAAGTACAAAACATAATTTTAAAGGCAGTGTAAGGTTGGTAATTGAAACTCATTTGAATATCTCACTTAAACTGCTTTTAAGTTATGTATATTGGAAATTTGCCAAAAACTTTATTATTAATAAATTCCATTGGAAATTTGCCAATAACTTTAGTTTAATGAACTTCATTGGAAATTTGCCAATATAAAATGTTGCTGATGAAGCGTTTTTGTTTATCTCACCTAAACTGCTTTTAAATTATGTATATTGGAAATTTGCCAAAAACTTTATTATTAATAAATTCCATTGGAAATTTGCTAATAACTTTAGTTTAATAAACTTCATTGCATTTTTTCTAGTTTCCAGACAATAACTTGTATGTAAGTGTATGGATCTCTCTGAAATTGTACTGCAAGGTACCATACCACAAAGGGAAGGCTGGGATTGATTTTGGGGGTAATTGCCTAATCTAACCGTGTATTTAGATTCTTTATTTTTGGTCCCGTTTTCAAATTGGTCTACATTAAGGTCCAAAGGGTCCAAAATTAAATTTAGTTTGATTTTAACAAAAATTGAATTCTTGGGGTTCTTTGATATGCTGAATCTAAACATGAACTTAGTTTTTTGATTATGGGCCCAGTATTCAAGTTGGTCCAAATCGGGGTCCAAAATTAAACTTTGTTTGATTTCAACAAAAATTGAATATATGGGGTTCTTCGATATGCTGAATCTAACCATGTATTTAGATTTTGGATATTGGAATACCACAAAGGGATGGTAAGAATTGTCTTTGGGAGTTATGGCTAAAACCGTTAAGGAATAAGGTGCAAAAAAGGGGGGGAAAAGGGTTTCCAGGTTAATGGACAATTACTTAAGTACAAAACATAATTTTAAAGGCAGTGTAAGGTTGGTAATTGAAACTCATTTGAATATCTCACCTAAACTGCTTTTAAGTTATGTATATTGGAAATTTGCCAAAAACTTTATTATTAATAAATTCCATTGGAAATTTGCCAATAACTTTAGTTTAATGAACTTCATTGGAAATTTGCCAATATAAAATGTTGCTGATGAAGCGTTTTTGTTTATCTCACCTAAACTGCTTTTAAATTATGTATATTGGAAATTTGCCAAAAACTTTATTATTAATAAATATCATTGGAAATTTGCTAATAACTTTAGTTTAATAAACTTCATTGCATTTTTTCTAGTTTCCAGACAATAACTTGTATGTAAGTGTATGGATCTCTCTAAAATTGTACTTGGGGGGGGGGGGGGGATTTTTTTTTCCAATTTTTTGGGGTTCATATTTTTTTTCTTCAAAGTTTTTGTAATCTTCAATTGCACAGTATTGCGCAATAGCAAGAAATCTTTAATTGCACAGTATTGCGCAACAACACAGTATTGCGCAATAGCAAGAAATCTTCAATTACACAGTATTGCGCAATAGCAAGAAATCTTCAATTGCACAGTATTGCGCAATAGGAAGAAATCTTCAATTGCACAGTATTGTGCAATAGCAAGAAATCTTCAATTGAAAATAAATACAAATCTTTTAACCAATTTCAATGGGATTTCTTTAAAGTCTTTAATTTTTGGGGGTTCTTACCTTGTATTACTTTTTTGGATATTGGGCCCCATTTTTAGATTGGTCTACATTGAGGTCAAAAGGGTCCAAAATTAAACTTTGTTTGATTTCATCAAAAACTGAATGATTGCGGCTGTATGATATGCTGAATCTTATTGTGCATTTAGATTTTTTATTTTGGGCCCTGTTTTCAAATTAGTCCATATTAAGGTTTGAAGGGTCCAAAATTAAACTTTTGATTGATTTCAACTAAAATTAAATTTTTGGTGTTTTTTTATATGCTGAATCTAACCATGTTGTTAGATTTTGGATATCAGACCATTCTAGGTAAAATGAATGTCCCATTTCAAATTTTTAAGCTCTTTGACCACATTTATTTGTTCACAGTATTGTGTTATATGAATGGTACAACTGCATTAATCACACAAATCTTTAATTTTGTCTTCCCACAGGTACAGGTTGGAAAAGAGCACTTGCAAAAAAGAAATACATATTGGAAAAGGTATTTTTTTATAAATCTTCAAGTAATTTTTATATACCTTTTGAAAACATGATATTAATATGTTAGAAAAATAGCATGTATTGGTATAACTCAAGTTTACTTAAACTATTATGTAAGAAATTTTGACACAATGTTTGGTTGTTGAATGGTTGTAAAATGTATTTAGTTTCCACAAAGATTTTATTCGGCAAATTTAAGCATTATGGTGTTTCTGAACATTTATATCTTAAAAATTTCAAACATCTACATATAAATCAAACTTAGAGGGTCTGAAACACCAGCAACTATACCAAGAGTGGGAAAGAAAAAAAGACTTGATGGACCGGAGCCATTCTAGAAAGATCATGTGAAAATTGAAGCCATTGGCTACAATGATTCAGCATGTACACAGTGACACATGTGCAATCAGTACTTAGTATACCTATATTCTACATTTCGTCAGCATTGGTGGTGTCAGCATTTAGGTTCAGTCTGCGGTCAGTTTTTTAAACATTTCATTTTGTTAAACCTTCAAGGAATTGTTTGAAACTTGGAATAAAGCGTTTTTATAATCAAAAGACAGAATTTTTTTTTCTCACTTTTCCGTATTTAATAATAAATAGACTCGTTTTTTTGCAGTTTTTAAACATTAAGATACAGTCTAGGATTAATGAATTTTTTAGACATCAATAAATTGTCAAACCTTCATAGAATGTTATGAAACTTGGACAAAAGCTTCTTCGAGAAAAGCTTCGTTGAGATCAAGATATAGCATCTGAAGAAAAAAGTTATTTTTTATGCCCCACATAGGGGCATTATGTTTTTCTGTCTGTGCGTCCATTCGTCCATCTGTCTGTCCTGCTTCAGGTTAAAGTTTTTGGTCAAGGTAGTTTTTGATGAAGTTGAAATCCAATCAACTTGAAAGTTAGTACACTTGTTCCCTATTATATGATCTTTCTAATTTTAATGCCAAATTAGAGGTTTGACCCCAATTTCACGGTCCACTGAACATAGAAAATGATAGTGCAAGTGGGCAGGTTAAAGTTTTTGGTCAAGGTAATTTTTGATGAAGTTGAAGTCTAAACAACTTGAAACTTAGTACAAATGTTCCCTATGATATGATCGTTCTAATTTTAATGCCAAATTAGAGTTTTGACCCCAATTTCATTGTCCACTGAACATAGAAAATGATAGTGCGAGTGGGGCATCCGCGTACTATGGACACATTCTTGTGTTTTATTTTTCCATATAATACTGTTAAATGGACTTAGTTTTTGGCAGTCAACATTACACTTTTACTCTGATAGAACCAATAGCACGGTAGATACAGGTTTCACTAGAAACTTCAAGTTTTTTTATTTTTTTTTAGTTATCATATGCTTGATTTTGGCATTTTAGGTTTTATATGACTTGTGTAAATGTTTTTATTACTTAGTGCTTGTTTTACCTGTGCATAATAACACAGACTTAGCTTGTTTTCAAAACCAAATTTCCATCTACCGGTACTTATTAATAAAAAATATCATATCAAAATAATATTTAAGTCAATGAATTTTACCTGTATAAAATAAGGATATATGGTATGATTTCCAATGAGACAACTATCCACCAGATTTTGTTAGACAGTGATTTAAGCAATGATAGGTCACTCTAGAAGCAAGAGTAATGATTTGTTTGTGCAATTGTAATGCACCAATTAGAGGTAATGTACCATGACAATAAGTTTATATTAATTGAAATAAATAGTAAGTAGTCATTTTGTTTCACTTAAGTAATAAAAAGATAAAAAAAAGTTAATTTCCAGCATTCAGATTTCATTTAAATTTTTAAAACTAAAGATATTTAATTGTTTATAATTATTGTTTAGGGGTGGGTATTTATTACCTAATACCGGTAATTATACACCTGTTTAGTGAAATGGGGGTATAAAATATGATACTGATTTCTGTGCACATGACACCAGTTTCTCAAACAACCTTCATCAAGTATTTCAAGACATGATTTTAAAAGATATATATTATAAACACCCAACATACACATGATAAAACATTTGAGAACAAACCAAACAGGCCTATACATTTAGTGATCCTTGTATCTGTTCATCTGTTAGTTTATTTATTTGTCCACCCTCACTTTGTACCTGCAACTCCTCTTGAACAAATAACTAGGTTATGATGGAACTTTCAGAATATATATAATAAATGATTTCATACAGTATTACTTTTTCATATTTGAAAATTTTGCATTTTATTTAATTGATTGTTGTGCAATTTTGGGAAAATTAACTGTTTTCCAATGATTTTGTTGTGTATAGATACATGTAACATAAACAGTAATTTTTGGTAAATGGACAGAAAGTCACAGGACAAAAAGTCACAGGACATAAAGTCACAAAATGGATAAGACAAAAATTCACAGGACAAAAAGTCACAAATAATTTGTTGATAATTGTTTGAATATATAAGAGAAAGATCTTCAAATAATATCTTTTTTTACATTTATTCATTTTTAAGTTTAGGAAATTGTTCATAAACCTTGATAAATGAAAAATTATTAAATTTTAATCATGCAAATGATATATTTCTTGGCACCATGAAGCCATTTAAGTGCCAAACCACTTTGACATTTTGTTATCATAACAATTATTTGATCATCATTGATATCTATTGAATAAATTTTAATTACAAAGTTGCTTCATATATTATAGTTCAAGAAAAAATCCAAAATTTATTTTTAAAATAAGTGTTTTCTTGTCGAGAGAAAAATCATCTCAAAACTGAATTGTGACTTTTTGTCCTTTGACTTTTCGTTCGTGACTTTTTGTCCGTGACTTTTTGTCCTGTGACTTTCTGTCCTACATTCAAATTTTTTCCCCAAATTGCACCAATTGTAAGCTTAATTTTACACCTTTTATTTGGTCTTACTTGACAGTATACTAGAATGTCCTACCACAGAGTATGTAACCTGTCGAAATATTACATACTCCATTATCAAAAGTCGGTAAAATGAAAATAAAATGAATAAGTGGAAGCTGTAGGTACCAACTGATTTAATATGAGACACTTGATATATAATTACCATATGAAAAAAAAAAAGCATTCTAAAAAATTTTTGAACTCTTACTTGTTGCACTCAGCTTAAGCTGTTTAAAAAGTTTGTGAAGAAAAAAATGGCTCATTTTTTTTTCCTTTCAGATAAATTCAAAATGATGAAAAACTAAACAAAAGGCAGCTATGTATCTACAGCTGATTGTTTTGGCAGTAACATGGACAGCAGTGAACAGTTTTACTGAACCTACTCCTGATATGTCTTATTTGACTTTGAGTGCTCAGATATTGACGGATGGAACTTGCAATGAAGTAAATTGTTACAACAAATATTGTGTTGGAAGAAGTTCTACAGGCAATCCACATAACATTATTAATATGAGTTCCTTGGATAGCATCTGTAAACCTACAGTTACAGGGCCACCCAATGGTAACAGAACTAAAGGACATATTACTTTTGATAGTACCAACTATGCAAACTGTAGTGTCAGTAAAACTTATTCATCATCAGAATGCACATTGACATTTTGGATAAAGTATAACTGTACTGGTTCTAGTAATTGGTAAGTATGAAAAAGATTATTGTAAATACACTTGGGCATGCATGCAGATTCTAATTCTAGTTAAGGGTCTTTTTAGGTTTAAATAGGTTTGAAAACACTATTTAAAAATGAAAAGATTATCTGTTACTATAAAATATTGAGAAAGATTAAAAAACAAAATGTTGAATCAATTTCCAAGGTGAAGCATTTTTTTTGTATCTGATAATATGGTTAGTTTTAATACTGTGTTGGAACATTAAAAACAAAACAAACACAAATCTTAATGTACAGTAATTGTAATATTTTAGCATTTAAATGTAATTTTAAGAATTGAATGTTTTTTTGTAGTTTTATTAGGGTTAAAATATTTGACAATATATAAGCTACAAACAAAGAAAGATACAATTTTAAAGTATGCATGTGCATGTCTTGGAGTTCAGATAAGCAGTATACTGTAAACCAACTAATTTTCGAGTGATTTATTTTCGCATTTGTGAGAAGAAAAATAGCGTGAATATAAATCGTCGCGAAAATTAAAAACTTGGATCTTTCCTTGTCTAACTACATCAAGTAAATCGCCGTGAATAGGGATAGAAAAGGATAAACACGAAATAAAGTATCTGCGAAAATAAGTTGGTTTACAGTATGTAATTGGACCTAACTAGAAAGTAATACAACGATATCACAAAAGTGTCAATTATCTTGGCTTGAGACCTGCACTTAAACATTTTCATGTGATGGGGTAAAATTTGATTTGGGAGTATTCAGCCCTCTCTCTTTCATTATATTTACAAAAATGTGTGCAGTTATAAATTTACATTTTAAACTGATCTAGACTTCTTCCAAATTTGTATTTTAGGAGAAAAAAACACAATGGCATGAAAAAATAATGCCATATGATACTGATTACTGTATCTTAGAACGCTTCCAGATACCAAATGCAAGGGGTTGGAGATCAGAGTATTACTTTGTAAAAATGTGCATAATTTTATCAGCCTTAAATAGCAATGGGGGGATACTATTATAGACTATTAAGGACTATTAATGTCAAGATTCAAATTGAAGTTCAGGTTCAACATGCTCAACTGCATTGAAACATTGACACATCGACACATTGACAGATCAACACACTGACACATTTACAGATCAACAGGTTGACCCAATGACATATCGACACATTGACAGATCAACACATAGACAGATTGACACATCAACACATTGACAGATTTACATCACATAAAATATACAGTTGTATAAATTGTAAAATCATTTATCTGATTGATTAAGTTTAAGATCTCCTTCAACAACAAAGGGGTTATTAGATGATACAGCTTTTGCTGAGAAACTGGAATACTTAGAGACAGTCATTATCTTACAGTAAGCTATTGACAAACTTTGCTACTGTACAAACTCAGTTTTGGTGTCCAGTCCATAAGTTACAGGATAGTGCATATACAGACCATATTTGACTAACAGTGATGATCACAGTGACTGTTATTGTAATGTGTTATTGAACAGCAACATAAAAAATCAACATATATTTATTAATCAGTTTGAACAGATTTATTATATTTTAGGATGAAATACGTTTAATTTTGAAAAATAGTTATCAGTCAACAAAAATATTGATCTACACATTACATAAATTTTTTCAACATCGACTTCCGGTTTAGTTTCCTGTCAAAAAAATGTCGATGATCATGAATCTTCTAGGCAAAACGATGTGGCTGGGACTCAGGGGATACAACGTAGATACTAGGTAATCGCTGGTTTCAAAAATGACACGTCCAGCTGGATTTTCATGAGTCCAGGACGCGTATACGCGTCTTAACGAGAACCCTGTTATACTATCACTGTCAGTTTGTAAAGGTCATCATGAATATGCACATATTGTAGTTGACAATGTCCATTGGTTAAGATAAATAGTATATGTCCATCTTACAGTCTGTCAATGTCAATTTGTCAATAAGCACATTTCATGGTCTGTCAATGTCAGTGTGTCAATGAGCACATTTCATTGTCTGTCAAATGTCAGTGTGTCAGTGAGCACATTTCATTGTCTGCCAATGTCATAGTATCAATGAATACATCATCTCAAGGTATGTCATTGATTATACCTCTTGGTGTGTCAATGTCAATGTGTCAATGAGCATATATGATGGTCTGTCAATTTCAATGTGTCAATGAAGAACAGGACACTGTAAGTCATTTAGTCTGATTGATCATGTGAAAGAACAGTATTTTAGATCGAATTACTCCAAAAGATAAGCCAATGTACCTTTTGTTGAATGTTCTGTACACTTCAGTTGATCTACGTTTGACTGTTGAAGTGTGTTAAAACCCTAAATAACCCCCAGAGAGACATTCTGTCAACAGGCCTTGAGTCCCATACTTAGTGCACACAACAATTTCCTAATATAGAGAAATTAAAGCTTATAATCTTGATGGCCAAAAGTTGGTTTATGTTTCTGTTTTACAGCTCTATGCAGATATCTAATGGTATAAAGGTAGAATTTAAAAGTGATCAATTGATAGTCAATGCAAAAAGCTACAAATGTATGAGAAGTAATTGGGCATTTATTGTATTAAAGGTAAGATTTTTTTATGCCCCCGCCGTAGCAGAGGGGAATTAAGTTTTACCCTTGTCCATCCGTACGTATGTACGTACGTTCCAAAGTTGGTTTCCTTTTTCTCACTTTAGTTTGCCTCAACCAAATGTTATGAAACTTATACACAATGCTTATTACCACAAAAAACAGATCAACTTTGAATTTTGGTGGCGTCACTTTAACCGTTCTAGAGTTATGCTCCTTTACAAATGGAAAAATTGCTGAATTTTTCGTTTCCTTTCTCTGACTTAAGTTTGCCTCAACCAAATGTTATGAAACTTATACTAAATGCTTATTACCACAAAATACATATCAGGTATGAATTTTGATGGTGTCACTTATACTGTTCTAGAGTTATGCCCCTTTACAAATGGAAAAATTGCTGATTTCTCCGTTTCCATTCTCTAACTTAAGTTTGCCTCAACTAAATGTTATGAAACTTATACACAATACTTATTACCACAAAACTCAGATCAAGTACAAATTTGGGTAGTGTCACTTTTACCTTTCTTCAGTTATGTCCCTTTATAACTTTATATGATATGCAAGCGGGGGCATCATCTGTGTCCCATGGACACATTCCTCATTTATTTATAAAAAATATTACATATTTAGTGGACTTTAAGTTTATTTCTAACATATTCACTGTTTTTATGTCTTTTAATAAAGAGATATTCTTTAGGGATATCTATAATACACGTATCTCCATTTGTCTTTTTGCTTAACATATTTGAATCTTATGTTAAAAAATCTCTTTAAAGTTATCATTTTATGTTTGAATATTTGGTCAATTTTTTTTTTTTTTTCATCTTTTGTGTTTAAGATTTTGGCTGTATTACATGTTATTTTCAAGCATTAACATGTTAAAGATTTTTAGCTATTTCAAGTTATTTACAGATACTTGCATATCTATATAAACATAAAGCAAGGAGCAACACATCTGTTCTGTTTCTTTTTGTTTACAAAATTTGTCTTAAAATTTAATATATATACAGCTGGTACCAGTATTTTTATTCTGTTGAAGAGTCACTATTTAAAACTACTGTTATCTGAACAACATTGCTGATGATGGTTGAATTAAGAATAATCTTAATTTTAATGCAGCTTGTTTGCAACAGGGGTTTTGATTGGACACATATATATATATATTTATAAAGTTAAAATCATGGTTTATCTGTTCTGCATGCTCTGCACAATCACATAGGTCCAACTTAAAAAAAAAATGAAGATGTGATATGACTGCCAATGAGACAACTCTCCACCAGAGACCAAATGATGTAGAAGTTATCATCTATATTGTCCATTTACTAGTTACAAGAAATTGATATAACAGGCAAGATTTAGCAATGATTTTCATCAGCAGCTGCAAGGATAAAAATGAAATACATGTACAGATATTTCTTGAATGATGGATATTAGCATTATATTGTAAATTTTGCCTTTATATACAAAGAAAAGGAAAGGTAGGGTAAAAATAAATGAGACAGCAACCAAACAACACAAAAACCAGAAGATATCTAGAGGTCAACAGTAGATTGATACATATATCTATACATTTTGTCAATCTCTAAATTGCTTTTGATAAGTACTTTTAGTTAAATTTTACTGCATTTTTTCTCCCTTATTAAGCCCACCTACGATAGTAGTAGGGGCATTATGTTTTCTGGTCTGTGCATCCGTTCGTTCATTTGTTCGTCCGTCTGTCCGTCTGTCCCGCTTCAGGTTAAAGTTTTGGTTAAGGTAGTTTTTGATGAAGTTGAAGTCCAATCAACTTGAAACTTAGTACACATGTTCCCTATGGTATGATCTTTCTAATTTTAATGCCAAATTAGAGTTTTGACCCCAATTTCACGGTCCACTGAACATAGAAATTGATAGTGCGAGTCTGGCATCCGTGTACTATGGACACATTCTTGTTAGTCCCCTACCGACGAAGTCGAAGGGGACTTTAGGTTTGCACTCTGTCCGTCCCTCCGTCTGTCCATCCGTCAGTCCGGCAACTCAGCTTTCCACACTTTTTTTCTTCGTTCTTGAAGATATTGGATTTGATATTTGGTATATAGTTTTATCATGACAAGTTATAGATCAAGTTCGAATTTTGTTCCGGTCTGATGATTTAGTCCAGAGTTATGGTCCATAAAAAAACTCCATAACTACTGTTAAGAGTACTATATTAAACCATATAATCTGTACAAAGGGAGATAACTCATTTTTTAAAAGACATTCTTTGGTGAATTGTTTGAGGAATTTTGTGGCAGGTTTATATGTTATTTTGTATAAACTAATTTTCTGAATGCTACATGTATGTATATATATATTTTTTTATTAAGTGAAATCCTTTAATTAGATAATAATCTATTTTTATTAAGGTATATATTTCATTACATTACATTGTGTAGATAAAAGTTGTTGACATTTTATAGGTAAGTTACAAATCTTTATTAGTTTGTGACAAATGAAAGAAAAAATATTTGGAACTATTAATTATATTTGATTGTAATTTGAAAATAGATATACATTGTATTACATCATATCTAATGTTAGAGTGTTATAGGTTTTCCACACTTTTTTTCATCATGCTTGAAAATATTGATTGACAATTGGTAAATAGTTTTATCATGACAAGTTACAGATCAAGTTCAAATTTTTGTTTAGGTCTGATAATTTTGTGCAGAGTTATGGTCCTTGGACTTGAAAAAATTCACTCATATATTCAGTTTTCCACACTGTTTTTAGTTATGCTTGAAGATATTGACTTGATATTTTCTTTTTGTTTACACCATGACAAGTTATAGAACAAGTTAGCATTTTGTTCCAGTATAATGAATTTTTACCCGGTAGGGGACTATGTATTGCCATGCAATACTCTCAGAATGCTTGTTTTATTAATGTTACGATTAGTAAAAGTCTATAAAAGTTCTTTGAAAACAGCAAATTTTATATCTTTGACTTGGATTTCCTGATATTATATATCAGCAACACTTGTCTTACTGATGTAATGAAGTCATTTGTTGTATTGATTTAGTTTAAACATATTTTATTTGCAAAATATCGCTAAACTGATTAGACAAAAGTTAGTCAAACTTAGATTATTATTGTTGTATTGATGATTTCATAATTTTTATATTGCAGAAAAATGCTATATATATAAATGATGTAAGACAGAATGCAAACCCTCAGCTTTCAGCATTTAATCAGATTAAAATTGATCCTTCACGTAAGTCATTTCTATAAGATAGATGTTGAAAAATATTGTGTGAAAAAGTTGCAAACATTTTTAATATCTTTATTTGTTTCCTGGGATCTGCTTGTCTGTTTCTAGTTTTTATGCCCCCACTGATAGGCAAAGGGGACATTAAGTGTTACCCTTGTCCGTACGTCCCAAAATTGGTTTCCGTTCTCTACCAAATGTTATAAAACTTATACACAATGCTTATTACCATAAAACACAGACCAAGTTCGAATTTGTGTGGCGTCACTTTTACAGTTTTCTAGTTACCCCGGTATGTCCCTTTATAACATTATATGCAAGCGAGGGCATCATTTGTGTCCCATGAACACATTCTCTATTTATTTTTATGTACAAAGCATTCAAAGTAAGTGAGCAAATGAAGTAATTTTGTTTCGATTGTTTCATGTTTTTAGGCCTTTTTATCCGTTAATAAGCTTACACTGTGCATGAGAAGAAGTTAAATATACCTTGGGATAATTCTATATTTGAAATTCAAAGTCAACAAGGATATACTCTTAAGACCCCTTTTCAAGATTTGCTTGACATATAAGAAATACCTTGCATTTTTAGCTTTTGAAATTAGTACTACAGGCCTAGGGTAACAGCAGAGAGCATCTGTACTTTTGAAAAAGCATTATTTGCAACAAACATTTTAGGCTTTACACTAGTATTATTCAGCTTAATTAATAATTATTTCCATAGCTATAAAACATTTCAATAGTAGACATTTTGCTTACATATTTTTTATTAGAACATAAAGAGTAAAACAAATCTAAACCAAACTCCTTCAGGGCAGGGTAAAGTTTTCTTTTAGAAAACATGGCCCGAGAACACAGTTATTTCGTAGTGCATTTCTTTTAGACAATAAATTCAAATTAAAAAAATCGCACCTGCTCTATCTCAAAAAGATTTTTACAGTGTAGTGTACTACTATTGATACAAATAATATCAAAATTATAGAAACTTCTACCAGCTCTAACTCAAAATATTGACAATTCTGTGTTAAGGGGGGGCTAAAATTCAGTTTGACAGCTTCAGACATTCTAATTTTTTACCTTTTTTAACTGGACCAAGTCACTACTTAACATAAAGATTCAGCACCCAAATTTTTTTAACATGTAATTTCATCCCCTTACTTAATATTTCATGCATAAAATATCAAAAAAATAAATTGGGAAAGTGTATCAAAAAAAAATGCAAGTTATACACTGTTCACACTAGGGACTATATACGTAGACAACGAAAACCAAAGGACGATAACTGTGTCCTTGGACCACATGTGAGGTGATGAATTTACACTGTTTATAAATCACTATTGTTTACCGTTGAAAGTAGAGAAAAAATATTAGCAAAATTATTTGATTGTGTAATTGTGTAGGCTTTTAAAAATAGTTTTAGAAATTTAGGATTCAGCACCCAAATTTTTATACGACCGCAAAAATTGAAAATTTTTTGGTCGTATATTGGTATGACGTTGGCGTCGTCGTCGTCGTCGTCGTCGTCGTCGTCTGGCGTCGTCCGGCGTCGTCCGAAGACACATTGGTTTTCGCACTCTAACTTTAGTTTAAGTGAATGGATCTCCATGAAATTTTACCATAAGGTTCAATACCACGAAAGGAAGGTTGGGATTGATTTTGGGGGTTATGGTACCAACAGTTAAGGAATTAGGGGCCAAAAAGGGGCCAAAAATAAGCATTTTTGTAATTCCAGACAATAACTTGTGTGTAAGTGTATGGATCTCTCTGACATTGTACCACAAGGTTCCATATCACAAAGGGAAGGCTGTAATTGATTTTGGGGGTAATTGCCTCAAAATTTTAGGAATTAGGGGCCAAAAAAGGGGCAAAAAACAAGCATTTTTCTAGTTTCATGACAATAACTTGTGTGTAAGTGTTTGGATATTTCTGAAATTGTACTACAAGGTTCCATATCACAAAGGGAAAGCTGGAATTGAGTTTGGGGGTAATAGCCTGAAACGTTTAGGAATTGGGGGCCAAAAAGGGGCCAAAAATAAGCATTTTTCTAGTTTCCAGACAATAACTTGTGTTCAAGTGTATGGATCTCTCTGAAATTGTACTGCAAGGTACCATACCAAAAAGGGAAGGCTGGGATTGAGTTTGGGGGGTGATGAATCATAAGGGGGTTCAAAAAATTTGGGGGGGGGATTTTTTTTTTTCTTTTTTTTTCTTTTTTTCCTTTTTTTTTTCTTTTAAAATTTTCTATTTTAAGTTGGTTATTTCTGATTAATATTTAAAAGCAAATAATAATGATATGGTAGGAGTTACACACCAAACAGGATGTGTAAATTATTATATAATAAGTATTGTGCAATAGCAAGAAATTTTCAATTGCACAGTATTGCGCAATAGCAAGAAATCTTCAATTGCACAGTATTGCGCAATAGCAAGAAATATCCAATAGCACAATATTGCGCAATAGCTAGAAATTGTCAATTGTACAGTATTGCACAATAGCAAGAAATATTCAATTGCACAGTATTGTGCAAAAGAAGATACTTCGTATAAATTGCTTATTTCTTGATCAATTTCAATGGGGTTTTATTCTTGAATTCTTGGGGTTCTTTAATATGCTGAATCTAACCGTGTATTAAGTTTTTGGATTTTGGGCCCCGTTTTTAAATTGGTCTACATTAAGGTCAAAAGGGTCCAAAATTAAACTTAGTTTGATTTTAACAAAAATTGAATTATTGGGGTTCTTTGATATGCCGAATCTAACCGTGTATTTAGATTCTTGATTATGGGCCCAGTTTCAAGATGGTCCAAATCGGGGTCCAAAATTAAACTTTGTTTGATTTCAACAAAAATTGAATATATGGGGTTCTTTGATATGCTGAATCTAACCATGTATTTAGATTTTTGATTTTTGGGCCCAGTTATCAACTTTGTCCACATTGAGGTCAAAAGGGTCCAAAATTAAACTTTGTTTGATTTCATCAAAAATTGAATTCTTGGGGTTCTTTGATATGCTGAATCTAACCATGTATTTAGATTTTTTATTTGTGGACCCGCTATCAAATTGGTTCATATTGAGGTCAAAAGGGTCCAAAATTAAACTTTGTTTGATTTCATCAAAAATTGAATTCTTGGGGTTCTTTGATATGCTGAATCTAACCATGTATTTAGATTTTTGATTTTTGGGCCCCGTTATCAAATTGGTTCATATTGAGGTCAAAAGGGTCCAAAATTAAACTTTGTTTGATTTCATCAAAAATTGAATTATTGGGGTTCTTTGATATGCCAAATCTAACCGTGTATTTAGATTTTTAATTTTGGGTCCCGTTTTTAAATTGGTCTACATTAAGGTCCAAAGGGTCCAAAATTAAACTTAGTTTGATTTTAACAAAAATTGAATTCTTGGGGTTCTTTTATATGCTGAATCTAAACATGTGTTTAGAATTTTGATTATGGGCCCAGTTTTCAAGTTGGTCCAAGTTGGGGTCCAAAATTAAACTTTGTTTGATTTCAACAAAAATTGAATATATGGGGTTCTTTGATATGCTGAATCTAACCATGTATTTAGATTTTAGATTTTTGGCCCAGTTTTCAAGTTGGTCCAAATTGGGGTCCAAAATTAAACTTTGTTTGATTTCAACAAAAATTGAATATATGGGGTTCTTTGATATGCTGAATCTTACCATGTATTTAGATTTTTTATTTGTGGGCCCGCTATCAAATTGGTTCATATTGAGGTCAAAAGGGTCCAAAATTAAACTTTGTTTGATTTCATCAAAAATTTAATTATTGGGGTTCTTTGATATGCCAAATCTAACCGTGTATTTAGATTTTTAATTTTGGGTCCAGTTTTTTAAATTGGTCTACATTAAGGTCCAAAGGGTCCAAAATTAAACTTAGTTTGATTTTAACAAAAATTGAATTCTTGGGGTACTTTGATATGCTGAATCTAAACATGTGTTTAGATTTTTGATTATGGGACCAGTTTTCAAGTTTGTCCAAGTTGGGGTCCAAAATTAATCTTTGTTTGATTTCAACAAAAATTGAATATATGGGGTTCTTTGATATGCTGAATCTAACCATGTATTTTGATTTTGGACATTGGACCATAATAGGTAAATTAAAAAAATTGAAGTTCTTAGACCACATTCTTTCTGTGTCAGAAACCTATGCTGTGTCAAATATTTAATCACAATCCAAATTCAGAGCTGTATCAAGCTTGAATGTTGTGTCCATACTTGCCCCAACTGTTCAGGGTTCGACCTCTGCGGTCGTATCAAGCTGCGCCCAGCGAAGCATTTTATTATAACATGTAATTTCATCCCCTTACTTAATATTTCATGCATAAAATATCAAAAAAATAAATTGGGAAAGTGTATCAAAAAAAAAATGCAAGTTATACACTGTTCACACTAGGGACTATATACGTAGACAACGAAAACCAAAGGACGATAACTGTGTCCTTGGACCACATGTGAGGTGATGAATTTACACTGTTTATAAATCACTATTGTTTACCGTTGAAAGTAGAGAAAAAATATTAGCAAAATTATTTGATTGTGTAATTGTGTAGGCTTTTAAAAGTAGTTTTAGAAATAAACAAACAACTATGAACTAAAGATCACAATTATTTCAAAACAACATATGTGTGATAGTCATAATAAAAAAAATCATCCCCAAAAGATACGAATTTCAACATCACAGCTAGGACTTCTGACCCTCTTAAAATTGAAAATTATTACCTGATGATTACTTTTGTGTACTTACATAAAAAAAATGATATTATTGGTCATCTCATACAATTTGTAGTGTAATGTTCAACCTTCTATAATGTTTCTAGCATATTGAAAATCCCTAAAATTATCTTTAATGATGGTTATTTATTCGATTTGTTTAAACAAAAGCTTTCAAATTTGAAGTATTAGTGCTGAATATTGAAAACATTTTTCAAAGTAAATAATATCATTTAAAAAATAGAATTCTCTTCCTCTTTGATCTATATTCATATCTTTTATGTAGATCATGTAATATATGACTGTGATAGTCATTTATTTGCTTTCACAAAAGTCTTTCCTTTTTCAGATATGAATGATGGAGAATCTTTCACATTGTTAGATGTTAGGTTGTATATTGACCCATTAACAGAACGGTAGGTTAAGTACAGAAATAGTGAGAAGACAATTAAGAAATTTGCATCAGTCTGTCAAAAAGAAAAAAATGCCAAAATCTGAGCCAATTTTATTTGTATGTGGAAACAGTGTTTCATAATGTTTATCATACCCTCCATGGATGTCATGTTATGATCTTTTTATACACTCTAGGAATGGGGTTGATATTAAACCCTTTTCTGTCCATTTGTTCATCCTTCCATCTGTTCATCCTTCCATCTGTTCATCCTTCTGTCTGTTCATCCTTTCCTCAGTTGGTCCATTCGCCCATTCTTCCAACTATTATTTCCATCCCATTTTTCTCAGAAACTACTAAACAGATTGATTTCATTCATATTTGGTCAGCAGCTAGACAGTGATTAGTTGTACCATGTGAATACTTTTCGGATCTGACAAATACCAACTTTCTAGTTATTGATACTTTGAATTTTTAAATATGTTGAATGAACTTAAAATTTTCTGGCACTTATTTCTCTTATCCTTCTGAAAAGAATGATTTCATATTTGGTCAACAGCTTGATAGTGATAAGTTGTAAAGTGTGTGCGGTTTTCAAAACTGTCAGACACCTACAACCTGTTTTCCAATACTTCAAATTATGAGTTGGGGTAAGCTAAGCTCTATATTTCATGCATTATTGTTTTGTTTCACACTCCGTATCAAATTTCTGTTTCAAAACTTATAGTAGAAAAAGTTTATTATGAACCTCAGTGGAATGAAAAAGTTGTTGAACTGATGCAGTAGTTAATTATTAATTACTTCTTCATTCCACAGAGGATTCTGACATACAATGTCAAAGGGTGGAGAAAAACTTTGAAATTATTAATGCTTTATGCTGAAATGAATTCAATAGTAGATGTGATAGTAATTATTTTGCACCTGATGGAGGTTTTTTGTCTCGCCTGCGATGAAAGTGGCAGAATGCAAGACAAAGGGATTACAATCCAGCAAAAGGTCAGGTATATTTGGTGTATGGAATGATTGTAAGGTGTACATATCTGTCTGGCAGGGTTCATATGACCTTGACCTCATTTCTATGGTTCATTGGTCAATGTTAAGTTATGAAGTTTGGTCTGTTTTAAAGGTACTATAAGCAATAGAACCACTATATTTGGTGTATGGATGATTATAAGTGGGTCTCATTGGGGTCTAAGTGGATGCAGGATTGGCCGATTTTTTGTAAGCGTGAGACGTGAAAGTCAAATTATTTTACAGGAAAACGGGAAACGAAATCTGGCGGGACACTTGAAGTTACAAGCGCTATCATTACAGTGATAAGCGGGATACGGGATTCTGACAAAACAATAAGTGGGATCCGGGATCAGACCCCCAATGAGACCCCCTTATAAGGTGTACATGTCTGTCTGGCATGGTTCATCTGACCTTGACCTCATTTTCATGGATCATTGATAATGTTAAGTTTATGTTTCTTGAAACCTTCATATTACAGCCTTTCAACATAAATTCAATAAGAGTAAAGCAGGGGAGACATTTCAGTGTGTGCACTCTTGTTATTGAATAAAGATAGAATTTTGAATAGTGGTTAGAAAAATGAATGAATGAAAATTCTTTTCTTTCCAACAGAGAAATTACACAGATTTATGAAAATTTGACAAAGATTGGTGATGTAAAGCCCTACAGTGAGTGTAGGTGTCCAAAACTGTATCCCATAGTTCACTCAGATGATAACTACTACAGCTTACAATGTAAAAATGAAGAAGGAGCATTTACCAGTAGATTTAAACAAGATTCTGTAATCCAGTATATAGCTGATAATGAAGAAAGTACAACCTGGAAGACTAACATGACAGAAACAGAGTTTACAGTTCAACTGGATCAAATTTATCAGGTTTCTGAATTATTTTGCAAATCTGTTATTAGTCTGTATTTAAGGGGACCAGTAACCATGGCAACAGGGACATATTTTTTGTCAACATATTTCTTACGTTTATCGATAGCTACCAACAAAACAAAATTTCAAGAAAATCTGAGACTATGCATGCCGCAACTTGGTGGTTACAGAGAATTGCTATTGATAATATAACTACAAGCAGCAGGGAAATGAGAACATTGAAAAATTGAAATGATTCATATATGGTAAATGTTCTAGAAAAATCTTCAGTCATAATATTTTTGGAATTTGAAAAGTATTAAGTTTGATGTCATATAGATAAACATTTGGTTGTTTTAATTAAAAGTCTATACATGTATTTGAAGAAAATGAATATTTTCTCTCTCAAATTCTTCACAAAACATTTGACACACATACATCAGATAACATGCTGATGACAAAATTATATGTCATTAAATACTATTTCATTTGTTCATCTGAGCTGCATGCATTCATAATTGTGCAGATTGAAAACAACATAGCATTTATGTCATGATTTCATGAATTTTTCATATGAATATTAATTTCTTCCAGATTGATGAAATAGTACTGGTTACAAAGACTTCACCTTGTAATGTTACTTTTACTTTAGGTGATGGAAACAATAAGGTAGTCAGGTAAGATAAATATTTTTCGCTAGTTATGTGCAGTTATTACATATTTTAAAAAAAGAGTAAAAATAGCCTACGATGACCTATAGTGGCTAACAGCAATGTCATTTGGTTTCTGGTGGATAGTTGTCTCATTCGCAATCATACCACATCTCATTATTTAATATTTATTAAAATTGCATAATGATATTGAATGGGCATACAAATTTATTTAAAAAAAAAATAGCATCTTCTAATTTTTGCTCAGTTTTTTAATGAAAATAAGCTGGCCAATCCAAATTGACTCTTATGCGCTTAAGTTTTACCCTTGTCAGTCCATACTTCCTGAAATTGGTTTCCATTCTCTTACTTTAGTTTGCCTCAACCAAATGTTATGACACTTATACACAATGCTTATTACCGCCAAACACAGATCAAGTCTGAATTTGGGTGGCATCACTCCCAATAATTTTAGTTTACAATATTGTCTTATAAGTTCCCCTTCTTGGATCTAATATTTAATTATATCTTCCATCTACTTAAAATTTTGTTAAAGACATAAATAAAGACAATCAGTATGACAAGATTGCTGATTTGAACATATGGTAGTATTATTACTGTACTAAGTTACATTTTTGGACTTATTATACCCCTCACCAAAAAGTTTGAGTGGGTTATAGGAATCACCAAGTCTGTCTGTCCCTCCCGCTTCATGTCTGTTGCGTACCATTGAACTTAGGTTGATCAGACTTGGTATGCAGTTGCATCATATTCTTAAACCCAAAAATCTCAAAATGTCATTGTCTTAATACTGAATATTCCAAAGCCAGGTCACTCTGACCTTGACCTTTGACCCCTATTAAAGTAAAATATGATAGTAAAACAATGTCCAATTCCTGTCAGGCTTTTAACTTTTGTACTGTAAAACTTGGGTTAACCAAACTTGGTATGGAGTTGCATCATATTCTGAATCCCCAAAATCTCAAAATGCCATTGTCTTAATACTGAATTTCACAACAGCAACTTAAATGCATGCATGTACCGGGGTATTAGTCTCACCATGCAGACAGCTATTGTTTAGCCCTCCAAACTTACAGATAATGAATGCTACAGTTATTTATCACAGTTGTCAAAATTCAGAGTAAAAGTATTCAGAAACTAGGTAATGAAACAATATGCAGCATATTTGCAATCAAAATAAAATTATTCCAGATATGACAACCATTTAAAATTATGTTTTTATTCAGTATTTTTTTTTATAATACAATTTAGTGGTATATATTGTGAAGATGGAACAGGGGCGGATCCAGCCATTTTTAAAAGGGGGGTTTCCAACCCAGGATAAAAGGTTCCAACCATATGTCCCCATTCAAATGCATTGATCGTCCAAAAAAAAGAGGGGGTTCAAACCCCTGGAACCCCCTGGATCTGCCACTGTAGAATGAAGATGCTACAGGCATCAAAATTCTTCCATAAGACCAAATATTCTTTTACAAAATGTATTATTTTTTTTATTGAAACCTTCAATTATATTTTCAGTGGATCAACCAGGACAAAATGGTCTGGTATATCACAGAACATAAATAGTAGATTACAGTATGAAAATGTAATAACAAGAAATATAACTGTACATCTTAGTGGATATTGTACTGGAAATAGTCATGATATAGCAGAACTCTTAGTTACTGGAAGGTTTGATGTTATATATTATATATTTATTTTATGTTTTAGATTTGAATTGAGGTGCTTGTTTCTAGGAGATAATGAAGACATTTCCAATGTTAATTTCAATGAAGAATCTCAATATTGACTTTCCAGTGTGAGCTTTTGTCATCACTTGGTGTCTGTGATCTGTGGTCTTCCGTTGTCAGATCTGTTAACTTTTATGAAAATGTTCTTTGAAACTACTGGGGCAAAATGGAACCAAAGTTGGCCACATTTATCCTTAGGGTATCTAGTTTTAAAAAATGTCTGATGTTCCTGTCTTCCAACCAAATTATCAGCTAGACAAGATCTATAAATAATTCTACATTGTGGAAATTATCTGCAGGCCATAATCTTGCCGGCGAAATGACGACTTAAGTCGCCAAAGAATTTCGAAAATCGCTAAATCTCGCTGGCCGACTGACTTCATAGCGAAGTCAAATCGCTATCAAAATCGGTAAAAGGGAGACAACTTGTGATTGACAAGTCTCACAGGTAAAAAAAATGGCGGCTGACAAGGAAAATCGAGATTTTCGAAACGACCCAAGACTAATACTGTAAAAGATCAAATTAAATAAATACAACGGCGACTTTGAACATCCTCGGATATAACTTTCAAAACTGTTCAAACAGAAAACTGACCGTCTGTTTAAGTTATTGTTTTACGATGATTTTCATCTGAGGATGTTGCGTAATCACTCAGCTGATTTGTTTTATTTTTATTACCTACACGAGTCGATCAATTTTACTATTCGGTAGGTAAAGGGTGGGAATTAACGGTAGATTTATTATATTCATTAAATAAAAATTGAAATATAAAAGGTAGAAAGACATATATGGATAATGTGATTGCAAACGTACGACACTCGACCAGATTGTCATCAGCAGTGGTTTTTTCTCATGACCACTTCGTTGATATGGATGATATTTTTAAAAAATGATAGAAATTAGCTCTTTATCGCATAATTAACTTGAGATTGAAAGATATTTTCATTTATAGACTTACAATCTTTAACGATAATCTCAATTTACTACAACTAACATAAATGTCCTGGACATTCAATAATGTTTTACAAAACAATGACAAGTGGTGATATAAATTAAATTCCCAGTCATGTGAAATTCATCATATTTTTCTGGAGTTTTAAAAATAAATTGAGGCAGATGCACATGAATTTAATGCATCATAATCTTGATAATATTACTAGGCTACTCCCTCATGTCCAATTCAACAAATTTTATTTAGAACACATTATGGTATCAATAAATAAATAACAACTGTATATTTTCTAAACCTTTTTATTAAGAACTTTCTTTATATACACTGTGTACAATAACATATGAAAAAACTGCAAGTACATCTTTTATTGAATATAAAACAATTTCCTTAGTGATCAGCTTGAAAACATGATGCAACCGAAACGGTAATGGAATCTCACTTCTCCAAGAAGTTGACCACTTCTCCCTTCTCTCTCATGGAAGGAGAAGTCACTTCTCCCTCTTCAAAATCCTAGATTAGGCCCTGTATCTGTATACTTATTATTCTTGGAACAAACTTTTAACCAATTTTTGTGGAAGCTTATGAAAATAGAGATTGTATAAAACGAAAAATTTCTAGCGGGACAAGATCTACTATTGATTAAGTCAACATGATTAAAATTGTCAGTTGACTCCTTATAGAAGTTTTAGCCTGTTTTTTACCCATTTTTGTTGAGCTTGCAAAATTTATGTTATGTAAGCGAGACATAATGATCATACATTCCGTGGTCATCCACTTCATTGGGGTCAACATAGATGTTCAGTCTGTGGTAAAAGTTTTTTATAGACATCAATAACTTTTTTCATGGAATTTTATGAATTTTAGACACGCTTTTTCATGACCAAAAATCTAAGAGCAAAATTTTGAAATATTTTTTTTCATATTTCTGTATTAGGGCCCTGCATCGAGGATGCTGGAGCCCTTTAGTTTTTAATTTGTCCGTCAGTCTGTCCCTTTGTCTATCTGTCCATCTGTCTGTCCGTCTGTCCATCCCAAATTTGTTTGTAAACGCAAAACTCCAAAAGTATAAGAAGGAGGCCAATTAAATTTTGCATAGTTGTTTTGCATTACATCGTGATGTGCATATTGTATTTTGGTGAAACTCCGCTCATTGTTTTTGGAAAAAACTTTGTGTTTGTTAAAAAAAAGTCACAAATTTTGAGAAATGTCTTAAAAACACAAAAACACCATAAGTATAAGTAGACTTTTTGTTTAAAAAATACTAATTTTGAGAAACATCTTCTTGTAGTAGAATGTCATCAAAAAATGATATTCAATATAGGCATAATATGCATTCCAAATTGTTTCCTCGAGTCAAAATTGTGCTAAAAACTTAGTTTTTCTTTAAAAATGATAAATTCTGAGAATCATAATACTTGCTAGGATTAAATGAAAAGGTATCATTTGCTATTAGGGAACGATTCCCTGTGTCGAAATTATTGGTTTCCCACCATTTACGAGAATGCCCACCAAAATGCATGTCATAGTGCTTGGATTTTAGCAAAACATATATTAATCCAAAACACATTCTGAATTAATTGCTGGTGTCAAAATTTATGATAATTGACAACCTATGAATATTTGCCTTGTATGCATCAGTCTTTTTGCCTCACATAAACATGTGCAAACGGGGTCTTGCTGACATGTAAGTTTTCTCTAGTTTTACTAATAAATTGACTCAGTTAATTTAATAGTTAACATTAAGATACAGTCAAAGATGAAAGTTTTTCAGTCCAGTCAAAAGGTTAAAGTTTTTTGGTCATCAATAACTTTGTCAAACCATGAGATTTATGTAAATTGTACAGAAGCTTGATGATCGAAAGAAAGCAAAATAATGAAAATATATTATTTTTCATTTTTCTATATTTTCCTGATAAAAGAACCTGTTTTTTGGCAGTAAACATCTAGATACAGTCTGATGTTGAAGTTTGCAAAACATCAATTACTTGGTCAAACTTTCATAGAATTTTATGAAACTTTGGTAGAAACTTTTTTATGATGTCTGAAGCAAAATTTTGAAAATATATTTTTTTGACTTTTTCCAGTTAACATTTACTTGCATTCAGACAGTTTGAATTAAATTTTTTAATATGATGAATTTGCAAACCTTTTTTTTAAAAAGAGCAAATGTCCTATGAATTGAAGCGCAAATGTCCATTAAAAAAAGTGCAAATGTCCTATGAAAAAGCACAAACGTCCCGCGCCAACCTGTTTACTGTAACTTGACCTTAAGTCAACAGATTGTCTGTTGACTCCTTATAGGTATTATTTCCCTTGTGTGTTTTGTTGTGGAAACTATATTAGATGGAGAGAAAACTTTACATAGCATAATTATCAGCAGGACAAGCTCTACAAATCAGTCAACATACATGAAATTGTCAGTCCACTTCTTATAGCAGTTATTGCCCTTGAAGGATAAATTTTCATTTTTTTGAGTATTTTGGCTGGGAAACTTTTGAAATATTCTCATTTCATTTTATCGATTTTATGAAAAATTTAAGGTGAGCGGTACAAGTTTCTTGGAGCCTCTAGTTGGTTACTAAGATAGTTCTTTAAAAAGGTCTTGGCTTCTATTTGATAGATATTTTCAATATGACAGTAAACAAGTCATGACACATCTTTTAAAGAAATTTTGCATGCATCTGCAGTATGTTTGAACTATTTTACATCACCAACACTGAAATTTAAGTATCAACAACATTTCATTTTTTAAGAAAAATCTATGCGTTGGTTTTTTATTATCATCATTTAGTTTTCTTCCTTGTTGATAGTAAAAGTAAAGTATAGTTCTTACTCTTTGTTAGTTTTGATTTCCCTTTCAGATTATTAGATAGTTACTTTGAAAATGTAAGTTCTATGACTCCCTTTTAAAAATTTACCCAGTAATCAACAAGATACAATATCACATTTAAAGGATGAAAGATTTATTCAATGACTTCATTCTTTGGTACATGAATGCTTCCCTTTTAACTTGTATCTCATTTAATTCTTACTATCTGTAAAATTCATAACTTTTATGATAATGATAATAACACAAATTTTTATTATGCAAGAAAATAGACTTTATCCTTAAACTTCAACCTTTCCACTGTTGTCTGATGCCTTCGGATGCAGATGTGCATAAACAAATCTCACACTAATGTTATCGAGGAATGCTATGATAAAAGGCAATAAATGATTTAATGTCAATGAAGCAACAACTCAGTAACTTACATTTACTAAAAGAGACATGTTTTAAAAATTTGGTGTATTTCTGTATTTTACTGATGAATAGACTAAGTGGAGTTATTTTTCAGCAGGCAACATCTGCGGAACCTTTTGCAAATTGTATAGTAAGCCAATTGGTCTCATATGCTGGACACAGTGCAGACTATGTTGGCTTTGATGTCTGAACAGCTTGAATTAAAATCCCTATGGCAAAAAAAAAAATTATAAATTTATAAGTTATAAAATGTGATTTTACCATTGTTGAACTGATTTCAAAACCAAATCTTATAAGTATGTATGGAGATGTTGGGTATATGTAAATAACACAATGTCTCCCTATTTTCCCCCAATTAATTTATAGAACAACCTTCTGTGTATGACGTGCTATAGTTTTATGAGTTCAAACTCTGTATTCCTAATGTATATATATCTTTATTTCAATTTACCTAAATGTTTGACCAAAATTTTTTATATTCAATTACAGATGTAGTTGCTATGGCAATTCAGCTAGCTGTACATATAGTTCAAGTCAAAGTAATATCTGTCAATGTCTGAACCACACAAACGGCTCTGATTGTAGTGAATGTGAAGTGGGATTCTACAGAAGCAAGGAAGATTTTGGATGTCACCATAGCTGTGAATGTAATGCAGATGGAATGGTTGGATCTAGTCAAAAATGTGCACAGGTTTGTTTATAATATATATAGATTCATTAATATGTTTAGTATAATTATACATGCTTTCTTCTTGTCATTTATCATGTTTATGGGAAACTATGTTATGTTTGTTTTAGTCACGAATCATAAAAGTTAATTAGGGCCCCGCTAAGAGAATTTTCTCTAATTCATTAACTTAATCTATATACACTGACATATACTTCCCAATTGTTCTCATGTCTGTGTACATATGCACAAATGAACTGTTAAAATTTGGTTACATCTTAAATTAGAGCATTTTTTCAAGAATAATAGTTCAATTTACTGGCCAGTTTTGTCTATTTGATTAAGTAAGAGTATTTATACAATATTAGTATGATTGACAACTGTCATGATCAAAGATTTTGTCTGTTTAGTATAATTATAGCAATTAAGCACATAGGGTTGGGCAATAATTGGAACTGTATATAGACCCCTCCTCTTTAATGCCAATCATAACTGACCAAACTACATAACTATTGAGTTTATACATAACATGACAGACCACTCAATACAAAATAACTTGACCCCATTAGATTCAGATAAATGTTTGATCTATATAGGTCAGTGTCATTGGGTGGTCTATGTCTTCATGTGTAATTGATGGTTAACATAAATATTAAATGTGCATTTCTTTAATAAAATTGAATATAGATGATAGATTTTAATCATTTACCTATATATAACTTTTGATTTTCACTGCATTAATAAAAATATAAGATAAATGTAAATTTTGGGAGATAAAAAAATGGACTTAGTTTCATGCCACTTTATCCAATTATCCCAGGTTTACTAAGAAACTGCAATAATTTTTTTTTATTAGGTAATTTTTTCTGTTTCAAAAAATGTAAATATTAAGTAGCAATTGAAAAGAAGTAATTATGCAAATTAGTGACCAACCGACATTGACCTCTATTAAACTAATACATGTAAAATATCGGTGACCTATAATTCAAGGATCTGGAAATTTTTTCACACAATTTCAGCAATTTTGAGATAACTTAAAAGTTGGTGCCATTTTTCAAAATTGTTGAAATCACACTAGATTCATAGCATCAACAAACTTGTTTTGACTGTTTCATTGCATTTACTTCATGAATTTTCTTACCATTTATCTAAAAACGTTCAAGAACAGTTAAGGGAAGGCAACAGTTTAAAAATGAAATGATTTTAATGACTTAAAATGGTTAATTTCTCAGACATCCCTAACGTTTCTTTCGATTTTGAAGACGAAATTTAAACCGGATGTTTAGCGACAATACTAAAGTACAAGTTATTCCGGACTCATTTCCGGGATTCGTTTTTTTTATCAAATTGAAAGGAAATCACCGGCTTTTTAATTTTTTTACCTTTAAAAGTGTTTGAATAATACAGATAATATTTGCACTTGTTTTATTTAGCATGAAATCATTTTGCATTTTACGATTAAGTGTCTAATCTGCCGAAGAGAATTTCACACATGCGTATTACATAGTAAATAAAGCACATGTGTTACTCTTGAAAAAAAACCCACATTTTTCTACGTAAATTAAATTAAGTTTTAATTTTTAAATCAGAATTGACGATTGTCTTTGCTGAAAAGTAATTAAATAATGAAGACAGTTGTCATGGAATTTTAATTTCTTTATAATATTAGTTCTGAGCTTGTGATCAATGTCGGGTGTGAATTAAAAACACAGGTAAAAATTGATTAATAGCGATCATAAGCCAATATTGCCCGGAGGCATATATATGGTTATTTGGAGGGCCCTCAGGATTAAAATACTATACTAAAGTGGCAGTTTTATTACAGGAAAGGGATAACAAAACAAAAACAAGACCTTACAAAATGGTGATTAAGAAACCTGATCTCAACGAAATGACCCAAATTATTTCTTTAAAAAAATAAGATTTGTCCTAAATCCCATTTTTTCGTTTAGGACAAATAAATTTCAGATTCGGTCATGTATGGCAAATATGACGTTTCCGGACCCTTGCTATAGTTGTTAATTTCTATGTCATTTGGTCTCCTGTGGAGAGTTGTCTCATTTGCAATCATACCACATCTTCTTATTTTTATAAGCAAATGTTTAATAGTCAATAAGCCATGACTGAGGGGGCGGGGTCAAATAATCTCAATGGAAATGAGATGTGCCCATGCAAAGGTTTTCTCATCACTTGGCGTCCGTCATTCATCGTCGTCCATTAACTTTTACAAAAATCTTCTCTGAAACTACTGGACTAAATTCAACCAAATTTGCCACAATCTTTATTCGGGTATCTAGTTTAAAAAAATATGTCTGATGAACCCGCCTGCCAACCAAGATGACTGACATGGCTAGAAATAGAAGACAGGGATAAAATGCAAGTTTTGATTATTATTTTAAAAACTGTATTTTAAATAGAGAAAATCTGACAAGGCAAAAATGTTTAGAATGTTGAGCTCTATCAATTGTTCATGATTTCAAAACTGTCAGATGACTTCTTATTGGAGTTCTTGCCCTTAAATGACAAATTTTACCATTTTTTTCATTTTAGACTTTTGTCTTTAAAACTATAATAGTTTAATGTTGCAAAAATGATCAGCAAGACAAGAGGTACAAATAATTTTGCATGGTCTAAATCGTCAGTCGACTCCTAATTAGAGTTAATGCCCTTTGATGATGACTTTTACCAGTTTTTTTGCGTTTATGTCTTATGCAAAAGATGAATATATTTATGGATTAAACACCTAATGTAAAAATTTTAATTTGCTTTCAGCTCATTGCCTAAAAATAAACCTTTCAAATTTTTGTAGAAGACAATACATTTTAAATACACTTTCATAGAACCATTTAAGTATGGAAAGCCAACGGGGTCAAATTCTTACTTCGTAACTTGTCAATTTGTAACTTGTAACTGTGTGATTTGTCAATTTGTATATTGATGTTTTGTAACTTGTCGATTCGTAAATTGTCGATTTGTAAATTGTCAATTTGTATATTGATGTTTTGTAACTTGTCGATTCGTAAAATGTCGATTCATCATAAATTGTCAATTTGTATATTGATATTTTGTATATTGTCGATTCATTAATTGTAGATTTGTTAATTGTCAATTTGTATATTGATGTTTTGTAACTTGTCGATTCGTTAAATGTCGATTTGTAAATTGTCATTGTTGTATTATGCTAACGATCATTATGATGACAGATGGCGCTTGGTTTCTTCTTCGGTGAATCAGCCTTCTGTAAGTAGGAGCACCTCCATATGGAGTAAATATATATACCTAAGTAATTTAAATCAATCATATATGTACAGCAAATGCATCTAAAAGAACACATTAGAATAATAACATTTTTATTTGTATATGGCATGTATACAGAACATTTTGTTTTCTGAAGACGACAGGTGGCCGTATCGTTCAAGAACGGAAACTATATAAAAATACAACCCAAATAGTTCATTCCTTCCACATTAATCGATCTCTCCTTCTTGCGAGGTTAATGGTGTAATCGTATATTAGCGGAACATAGCGACTGAATTATTCGAGTAAATAGATATAAGGAGATGTGGTAATAAACAGAATGATTGTCAGTGAGACAACTATCCACCAAAGTTCAAATATAAAAGTCGATGTAAGCAATTATAGGCAACGTACGGCCTTCAACAATGAAAAAAACCCAATCCATATAGTCGGCTATAAAAAGCTACATCAGTACGCAAAAATCCAGGTAAAAACAGTTTCTATTAATCCTAAAATGCTATTATCGGACCATTTTATTCTGACTTAGTCCTCAGGGGGAAGGGCTGACATACATGTATATATATAATATATTAATATTCATTTGTACATGCCTACTAACTTTTTTCTAAATATTTTGAAATTTGCATTTCATATGAAATTAAAAATAATGATCGTTCGCATAATACAACAATGACAATTTACAAATCGACATTTAACGAATCGACAAGTTACAAAACATCAATATACAAATTGACAAATCACAAATCGACATTTAACGAATCGACAAGTTACAAAACATCAATATACAAAATGACAATTTACAAATCGACATTTAACGAATCGACAAGTTACAAAACATCAATATACAAATTGACAATTTACGAATCGACATTTAACGAATCGACAAGTTACAAAACATCAATATACAAATTGCAATTTACCAATAAAGAATTTTGAAATCACACAGTTACAAGTTACAAATTGACAAATGTACATATTTAAGGGAGTAGTTCATGATGGGACGAAATTGGCATTAAGATTTTAATGGTTTTTAAATAAGGCACTTCACATTAAACAATACAAGGTTATGACAGCTTAATTATGCATCATTTGTGTTGTAATGTCAGTTTTGATCCAACTTTTTCAAAATTTATAACAATTTTTGACATAATTTACTTTGGATGCCATAACCAATCCAGAAAATGTTTGTGTTTAGGTATATGATATTATCTTTGGCACCTTTTGGTCACCGAAAATTTTGGATCACAGGTTGCTGCAAAGATTTTCCCAAAGCTTTTAGGTCCAAAAATGCATAAAATCATTGTATTTTGTCTATATTTTCATATTGAGCTAGGTTTGGAGCCTCTAATATACTATTATGAAGAGAGTTGTCTTACCTAGCATTAAGGCTTTTGAAAAAAATCCATTTAAGGACCAGATTTTGGCCTTTTTTAATTTTGAGAAATATTTTGCCAAATTGAATGTGGTGTAGTTAGACTCACAAATCCTTCTTTACATCTTATATACCACCTAACAGAAAATAACTTTACCTTGCATGTAAATTTTTACATGTATTAAAGATGTACCAGTTTTTATCTTATTTATGAACTGGACGTATAGCTATCACCCCCATTGAAATAACATGTATATAGTTTTTGTCTTGCCTTGACGGAGTCAAAAAGTGCGACATAGGTATGCTGTTTCTGGCATTGGCGGCGTCGTCAACGATGTACTAGTTTGTGATTGGGTCAAGTTTAGGGGGAACCACTAGTGGTATATCAATGATATATGGTATGTAGTTATATTTGCATGAGCACATCCCATTTCCATGGAGATTATTTGGCTCCACACCCTCAATCATAGTTTATTGACTATTAATCATTTGCTTAGTTCACATGTATTAGTTTGTGATTTAGGTCAGTTTATGGGGAACCACTAATGGTAGGTCAATAATATTTTGTATGCAGTTGTATTTGCATGGGCACATCTGATTCCCATTGATATTATTTGGCCCCGCCCCCTCAGTCATGGTTTATTGACTATTTAATATTTGCTTAGTTTACATGTATTTGTTTGTGATTAGGTCAGTTTATGCAGTTAACCACTAGTGGTAGGTCAATGATATTTGGTATGCAGTATTATTAGCATGGGCACATCTCATTTCCATGGAGATTATTTGCCACCACCCCCTCAGTCATGGTCTATTGACCCTTTAACAAATCCTTCTGTCTGTCTCCAATTATTTTATGATATGTTGAACAAAGTTTTAGATAAACATGCTCCTGTTGTTGAAAAGAGAGTTAAAAAGGATAGGCAACCTGATTGGTATAATAGTGAAATTATGTATGCTAGGAACATGAGGGATAAATATAATGCACTTGGATTGTGGAGTGAATATAGATTTTGGAGAAATAAAACTAAGCAAATAATAGAGAACTCAAAAAAGAATTATTATAAAAACAATGTAAAAGACTCTAATGACTCAAAATCTTTATGGAAATGCCTTCATAGTGGCTGAACCCTAAGGTAAAAAAATCCCCACATGAGTTAGCTACAGATGAGAACAATACAACAACAAATAATAAAAAATCAATAGCAGATACTTTTAATAACTTTTTTACTTCCTGTGCTGAAAAACTAAGAGAGCAAAGAGACATTACATCTGTTGACAAGGCAGATTTCAAAATCTTAGCACATTCATTAAAAATCAATTAAAACAACAAAAACATGTGAAATTTACCATACCACCAATAAAGATAAATGAGCTATTTGATGAGTTAACCAAACTTGATGCAAATAAATCATTGGGAACTGATAATATTGGACCCCACATCCTTAAAATAAGTGCCCCATACATTGCCTCTCCTCTCACATATATATTCAACAGAATGATAGATAATGGTATATATCCTTCATTACTGAAAAACGCTAAGGTAACACCAATTTACAAAGATGGTGACAAGGTTTTAGCAACAAATTACAGACCCATATCTGTCCTTCCATCTCTATCAAAAGTATTAGAAAGGCATGTCTCAAATAACATGTACAAGTACTTGTCTAAATTTAAACTTTTACATCCTACACAATCAGGTTTTCAGGCCACATCATTCTTGTCAAACTGCACTTATTGATATCATTGACAAATGGCTGCAAGAAATGAATGATGGTAATTTAAACCTAGCAATACTGTTGGACTTCAAAAAAGCATTTGATCTTGTAGATCATGACATTCTTTGCTTAAAGCTAGCTATTTATGGATTCAGTGAGTCTGCAGTAGGTTTTTTCAGGTCATACCTAAGTAATAGACCACAGCAAGTAAACATTTGCAATGTTAATTCTGATAAAAAAGATGTGAAATTTGTTGTCCCCCAAGGATCTATACTAGGTCCTCTATTATTTGTCTTATTTATAAATGACCTTCCCCTTTGCATTAAAAATTGTAAAACAGACTTGTATGCTGATGGTACTACTCTTCATAAATCTGGGAAAAACATAGAAAATTTACATGATGATGTTCAAGGAGATTTATGCAGAATTGAAGAATGGTGCAAAATGAATAATATGTTCATCAATACTAAAAAAACAAAATGTTTGGTTACTGGAACAAGTCAGAAGTTATCAACTTAATCTTTTCAACCAAATTTACAAATAACTACAAAAACCCTACAAAATTCATCATGTAAAAAATTATTAGGTGTTAAAATTGACAGCACACTTAGCTGGACAAATCAAATTGATCAAATTTGTGCTAGCATTTCATCAAGAATATACGTTCTTTCAAAATTAAAGAAATTTTTAGATATTTATGCCAGGAAAGCATATTATAATATTATAATATTCTGCCGCTCATCAATTACTGCTGTATTGTTTGGGGAGAATGTAAAAATGAAGGGATAATAAGAATATTAAAACTTCAAAAAAGAGCAGCAAGATTAATTCTTGATGCAGACCCTTTATCCCCATCAGCCCCCTTATTTAAAGAACTTAGATGGATGACAGTAGAAAACAGAATCAAATACCAGAAATATTTACTGCTATATAAATGTATGCAGAAAGAAGCACCACAGTACCTACTTCAAAAGTTTCAACTTGTATCTGTTAATAATCCTTATGCTTTAAGGGGTGTTACTCAAGGTAATTTGATAGTTCCTAAGCCAAAAACTGAACTGTTTGAAAAATCTTTTGCTTATTCTGGATCAGTTTTATGGAACGGACTACCATATGAAATGCGTAAAGTGCAAAACACTTTTTCTTTTAAACAAATTATAAAACGATACTTGAGGCAGTCCCAATATTCAGTCTTGAAATGATCGCAACTATTACTTTTTTAGAATGTATGATTTTGATTTGTATATAATATCTATTTACTACATCAAATCTGTAACTGTTTTATATGTTCTAATGGTACATGTACATTGAACTATCATGACTATACGATTGTGTTAATATGTTGTATGTTTGCTTTTTTTTTTTTTTTTTTTCTCTTATTATTATTTTTTTACTTGTATTGTATATGACGGCCTCAGGGAAGATTAGCAATTGTAACTAACTGTGTTTACCCTCTTTAAATAAAGAATTTATTATTATTATATTATTATTATTACAGGTTGATGGTCAGTGTACATGCAAAGGAAATGTTGAAGGCCGTCAATGTGATACATGCAAACATATACATTTTAACTTAACAAATAGTAACAGTGATGGCTGTACCAGAAGTTTGTGTCATGAAAATGGGACATTACGTTGTAATAACAATGATACTTGTGATATGTGTGAATGTAAAACAAATGTTGAGAATAAGTACTGTGATATGTGTAAACAGTATCATTATGGAATAAATGTGCCAGACAATGGTTGTGAACCTTGTAATTGTAATACTCCTGGAACCCAGAATGCTGACAGGACATGTAACCTTGCAACAGGACAGTGTACTTGTAAAAGTTTGGTAGAAGGTGTGTATAATAACTATTTTAAGTTTAATTGTAGATTGACCTACCTTAAGTTTGGTAGAAGGTGTGTATTATAACTATCTTAAGTTTGATTATAGATTGACCTACCTTAAGTTTGGTAGAAGGTGTGTATAATAACTATCTTAAGTTTAATTGTAGATTGACCTACCTTAAGTTTGGTAGAAGGTGTGTATAATAACTATCTTAAGTTTAATTGTATATTGACCTACCTTAGGATTCATTCTTTTTATGAAATTTGAGACAAAAAAAAAAACTTTTTACTTTTCTATCATCAATTATTTCCAATTTATTACAATAATTCATTTAATACTTTGATATATGACAAGAATAGCTGTATGAAGATGTTGTATAAAGAGTACATTGTTACTTGACCCCCACCCCCCACCCCCCAAAAAAAATAAAGTGATTTCCAGCAGGGATGTATTCTGTTGTTTGAATTTAAAACAGTGATTGTGTTCTGAAGAATCCTTTAATGGGAGTAGGTAGAGACTGTCTTTTCAGCATCATGACCAATAACTACTTTAATAATGATTCATCATCTTAACTTGACAGCAGGTAGTATATATATAAAAATAAGGAGATGTGGTATGATTGTCAATGATACAACTATCCACCCAAGTTCAAATGAAGTGGATGGAAGCAATTATAGGCAACTGTATGGCCTTCAACAATGAGAAAAACCCATACCATATAGTCGGCTATAAAAGGCCCCGAAATGAAAAATATGAAACAATTCAAATGAGAAAACGAACGGCCTAATTTGTAACAAAACAATTCATGAAAAACAAATATGACAGTATACCAATTTCAGTGCACATGATATTTTTTTCTGGAAATACCTTCATCTGGTTGGCTCAGGATCAAGGCGTTTTGAAACAAATACGGAAAAAATTGTTGGGAAAAGAATTCAATAAAGTTTTTAAAATTGTACAACCAATTCTGACAACTTTCCTGATTGATTAATATTTCCTTGATCTATTTTTCTTCAAAATATCCAAGTTATTTTCAATAGATATAAAGGGTAAGGGCAATCTAACTTTGATAGAAAATGAAGGCATTAAAGTCTTGTGCTTATTAGCTAACATTGGCCATTTGCCGAATGGTTTATATATAATGCAAGCCATTGTCATCACTTGGTATTCATCGTCATTCAAAGGTCTATCTGATGTTCTCATTTGCACAGTCTGTTAACTTAAAAATGAATCTTGCCCTAAGAAACCATCTTGTGAATGGACACCAAATTTGGTCATAGTCATCTGTAGGGTTCTTCAGTTTCAGATTTGTTCTTAATGTTGGTGCTGATCAACCAACGAGGCTGCCATTACTTCAAAATAAAACATCATAGAACAGGAGCTATCACTATACATCTGACGCCTGTTTGCTAATTTTGGCGTTATTCCCTCTTATTTTGAAAACTATAATAGATAAACAGAAACCTTCACAAAAATGATCAGCAAATCAAGGTTTACAAAAATGTCAATATAACTGTGACCATCAATGGACTTCTAAAAAGAGTTATTGCCCTTCAATGATAATGATTTTTGACCAGTTTCAGCAATTTTGTCATTTATGTAGAAAACAATAGATTGCAAAAATTTCTTTCAAACGTTAAGGGATAATTAATAAATGGGATTTTTGAAACGAATTAATACCAATATAAATTTAGGAATTTAAGATGTGAGCAATATTTGTGATACTATGTGATACTATATGGCAATTATTAAAATATTTGAAAAAAATGTGATTTTTAAAATATACATATATAAGAGCACAAAATGCAGAACTTAAAAAGTAAATAGCTTCAGAAAACTGTAAAAGGGAATAATGACTTATAAGAACTGTAAAAAGTGTACTAGGGTTACAGGAACTAAACTGTTTTTCTCCAGGGGCCAGCTGGGCCCCCAAATTTTATTTTCAGGGGCCCACCGGTGGTAGGTCAATGATATTTGGTATGCAGTTGTATTAGAATTGGCAGATCTCATTTTCATTGAGGTTATTTGACCCAACCCTCTCAGTCATGGTCTATTGACTTTGAAACTTATGCTTCATTTCCATGGGTATGCAGTTGTATTATCATTGGCAAATCTCATTTCCATGGAGATTGTTTGGCCCTGAGCCTTCAGTCATAGTTCATTGACTTTGAATATTTTGCATAACTCACATGTTAAAGTATTGCTATTTTAATTTCAACATTTACATTTTACTATCAAAATAAGAAAAAAAGCGACACATATCTCTCATTGTACAAATAAAATAAAACTTAAATGTACTTTCCATATACTAATATGGGTAATCCTATAGTATATGTATTTTTTTTTCTTTCCAAACATGTATTTATATCTTTAGTCCTCAAACTTCTGATACAGATTTTTATACATCTTTCAAATAACAATTTACTTGTACAATGGGTGAATTATTTCCTATCAAAGGAGATAAATAAGTCTTTTTAAAAACAAATGCTACCACATTCCTAGTTTCAGTTGAATTTTTTTACAAGAAAATCCAAATACAGTTCTTTTATAAGGGGGTTATCAATTAAAATAAATTCTATTTGACATTGAACATATTACAATTTGAATCTGGTAAAGATTATGCCACCAGAAATATATGATAAGATTTGACTTTTCTGGTTTTAGAACATTTCACATGAAAATTATCTCCCTTCAGGACTTCCTGTTGGCATTCTGACAATATAGCCATTTATTTGAATCATTATTTCAAATCCAAGTAGTCCTCTGTTAGTATTGATCTAAAATAAAAAAAATTATCCTTTCTTGAAGTTTGGATAGCAAACTAGATATTTTTATATATAATTTCGAATGGTGGCTTTGAATTGAAAATGTTGATGTCCAACCAGGTTTTCGTCATTAAAGTGAACTTACTGGTTTCCTGAAATTCTCTTTTATTTGCCCTCTTTGATTAGAAATTAATGTTTTTGTTTGGGAACAGCTTTTGTATAAATCGATGGGAAAGGGGAAGAAATGGGATTCAATGCAAAATATTTATCAGTCTCCACCTTTGTTAGCAGAATGATAAAAGTTATTCGCCCAGCTGAAAATCTGGTTTCCCTGGTGGACTGGTCGACAATAAAGTTTAGTCTCTACTGGTTAATGAAGTCAGTATAACCATATGAAGAAAGATTAGGTATGATGTACTTCAGTATACATTGATGAAACAACAATCTGACAAAAACTACAATACCGAAAACATTTAAAAGTTGAAACATATTTATGCCATGTGTCAAGTCTTATAATCTTTCTGATTCTAGACTGATTATAAATAAATTTAACAGAGACTACCACAGGTCTGCTATAAACACCTTATTCTTTAAAAAAAGAGAGGCGTAAGATACCAAAGGGACATTCAAACTCATAAATCGAAAATAAACTGACAACGCCATGGCTAAAAAAGAAAAAGACCAACAGACAAACAATAGTACACAAAACACAACATAGAAAACTAAAGACTGATCAACACGAACCCCACAAAAAACTGGAGGTGATCTCAGGTTAAATGAAGTACCCCTTTTAATATATTAAAGATACATTAGCAAGTAAAGTTTTTACTGAAATGAAGGTTAAGAAATATACCATGAAAAGCCATACTGACAAACATATACTCGTTAGTTTTCCCATTAACACATTTCACTTTATTATACCCCATTCTGCATCTGATAGCAATTTCTGTTTCTATAGCATTTCTGTCATAAGGTCCAACATGTAATCTCAGACGATATTTGAAGGAAGCCAAGTGCTAAATGGATTGTAATTTTGTAGAGACCAATATCAGTTCTTAATAAAATTTCTTAGAAATTTTCCTGGTAAAAAACATTTGTATTACGGTTTATGAGATTTATTAGGATAATTTATTATGAAGTGGGAAAAAAGGTCACATCCTTAGCTATTAAACATGTTTTAAAGATGCACATATTGTCATGAATCTTATCAGTTGATATTAAAATTTCTGAGAATATATTTCCTTGAAAAAGGCTTGGGGAAACTTTTGGACTTTTATGTGGTTTTTAGATTTATTGGGTGATTTTTTATTTTTGAAAATGTTTTGAAGATGTGCATGTTGTCATAGAGACACTTAATGTTAAATTTCTAAGAATTCTTTCCAAGAGATTTATTATGTAATTGTGACCTTTATTGTTGAAGGAATATTTGCATTTTTGTATTGCTTAATAATGGAGTGAAAGTTTTTGTTTTGATAAAAAATTGGTGTTAAATCAATAAAATTTGTTAATACATTGAACTAGTTTAAGGTCAAGTTACAGTAATGTAAAAAGAAACTATCAAAGCCCTGTCATCAATGCCAAATTTTCAAAGAAACAAAAAACATAAAGAATACTACTGACCATGTTTCTGATCAGGGATTGGCAATGAGTATGTGATGGGGTTAAATTACATATAAACTCCAGTTGTTTTTTTGTTCTCTTGTTTAATATAACATTTGTTATTGCTCATGTGTTAAGGATGTATTCTTCTGATGTTTCAGTCTCTTTGAAATCTCGTTCGGGAATTATTTCCAAAACATGTGATACAAGTGGAAAATATCAATGAATTTAAAAATATCATAATCAAACTAAACTCTGTGAAAAAATTGTGTACTTACAATAATTAGTTTTTGAGTAATAAATTTTCAAATTTCATAACCAATCCGGTCAGTGTCATCAGCCAAAATGTTGAGAAAATGGGTGAGGGGTTCAAAGAAAGGATTTTACCAAAAATATGTACATTGCATATCAATTTTCAAAATTCTTAGATATGTATTTTTTTAATCACTTATAACAAAGTTGAAATAACATGCTTTTTGTTAAAAAAAAAAAGAGATAATCCCAAATTGACAAAATTGACAACATGGTCAATTTGACACAAAATATACTAAGAGGAGGGGGTGTCAAAAACCATAACTAAGTGAAAAAAAAACATTAGTGGAAAAAACAAAAACAAAATAACAAACAGACAATACCATGACCAAAA